AAAAAAAAAAAAAAAAAAACCAATTACGAGATTAAGAATGAGTAGAAAATGATAATTTCATTCTCATGTCATTTCATCGTACCAATCATGCAATAGTTATTATGGCTTTCGGGATTTGAATTATTGCACCTTTCTGGAATTGAATATACCCAAAAAGAAGTATTGCAATTCAAATCACTGGTTTATACTGTCCTCCTGTTAGAATTTTTTCTAAAATAAATAAATAACACCAGCAATAAATACAGATAACGCTCAAGCTGTTGGGAGAAATCCATCTCTCATGGCCATCTCATAGAGAGCAATAGCCATAAGGACTTTAGCATCAGAGGTCATCCGCCACAGGTTCTTGTAGGGGACGACGTGCACACGGATCAGCTCGCCATGATCCCGTAGACCAGTTTCTTTACCTTGCAGCTGTTTAATAATCTCTTTATCCACACTGCCTCTGTACAAAAACAGGCCGATTTCTTCATCACATCCGCCCTAATAACCCAAAAATAACTCGGTTGAATTAGCAATAGAAGTAGAATAAGCAATTAACCAACATAAGGTTCCCCGAATATCTTTCACAAAAGTTTATTTGGAAATTTCCAATATTCTCATGTGTGTTTGGAATTTTTTTATTTTTTTTTTCTCCAGCATGTGACATGAAAGATGGTGATACCTCCAAGAAACAATAAAGAATTTTCCAAAATAAATAACGGATACGAATAGTTGACAAACCGGGGAAGGAAAAACTCTATTCCCAGTAGAAGGATCTAGAAAGGCAGTGAGATCAACAAGGTCATCCAGATTCAAGTGCAATCCAGTCTCCTCCTCAACCTGCCACACACATCTGATCCAACAAGTTAAAAAACTGAAGAGACCTCAACTTTGACACTCGTATAGTCGTATGAGGCCGTACATGACATCTTTAGCACCTGAGCTATGAAACTTTACGTGCAAAAGAAATAAAAGCAGCACAGATAAACTTATGTCATTTGTAGCATGAACTTTGTGCAAAAGTAGTACTGATGAGTGGTCAAATTATTATTGAGATTGAAATATGGGAATCTTGCTTAAATTTAATGGGATAAAAGTGGCAGGTTCCTGGCAGGAATATATTTTGGTTCTGAACATGAATTTAGATTTCCATAGTTATAAGAAATTGTAGGAAGCAATTTTTGTAGGTTTTAATACTTCTATTGCATATTATGTAAGTTCTGATCATGCTTTGTAAAATACAGTTCGGATTTGCAATGCAGCAATATATCAACATGTCGAATTTTGTGACGTAAGAGCATGCTTTTGAGATGAGTTCTAAATGGAGAGAAAACTGGAAGTTAGAAAGGGTAAAAAGCAAAAGGAAATAGAGAAACAAAAGGAAACAGCACTGTTCCTATACTTGTCCTTGTAAATTTAGCGTTCTCAAAAGACAACAGGCGATAAAAACCTGTCACCAGAAACTTTCAGGCAATGCAATATGGAGTAGGATAATGTCATAATGTGGCTTCTGATTATCATGTCACGAATTCCATAAAATTCTTAAAACTAAAGGGTTATTTCTCAACTTGTGTTGAAGCATCTAATTGAAATGCGAATGTAGTCACTTTTATCAATGATCTTACATCCCCAAAATTTGTTATCCAATGCACGGTTCAATGGATTAAGTTCACCTTCCACGCCAAGCAGATTTTAGTATCGCATATCCGTACAACTAAGAAGTACAGTACAACAGTATGTCACCTCCTGACATTGTATAAACTTATTTAGCTCAGAGTTCACACTCACAGAAAAAAGATGTTGAACTAATGTGCAATTTTCATTCTGGAAAACTACTGTGACTAACAAATTATGTAAGGTTTGAATGATATCACGGAACAACTGAAGAAGCCTAGCTATTTAGGGAACACATGCAGACGAGAGAGAGAGAGAGAGAGAGAGAGAGAGAGAGAGAGAGAGAGAGAGAGAGAGAGAGAGAGACCTCACGAACAGCTGTTCCAACTACATCACCTTTGTCATCATCCAACATTCCGGCCGGTAACTCCAATATAAGCCTCCCAACAGGGACCCTAACCTTCCACATTCACCAAAGTTAATTAGAGTTTCAGGAGATAGAAGAAAAAGTGTTTTCTAATCTTAAGGGCCTAAGTTAAGAAAATATGCTCCCTCTGTCCACCACAACGGTATTCTTATGATAACTTCCACACAATTTAAGGAAACACAACTGTTGTTGGGAGTACCTTCTAAATAAATTGGTGTTATATTCAGAACTCTGCACCTTGGGTCGCTACGGAAACAGCCTCCTTATATAATTACAAGGGTAAGGTCTGCGTACAACTGACCCCCTAGACCCCAACCAGTTGGGAATATACTAGGTATGTTGTTGTTGTTGTTGTATATTCAGAACTCTATCTTATTGGTTGTCTATAAATTAAATCAGAGCAACAATGAAACTTACCGTTATAAATACTCTTTTGGGAAAAAAAAAATGCTTACCGTTGTAGGACATCAAAATAGTAATATGACGGGATGGATTAATGAAAAATATACCTGCTCTGTCAGCACTGCATAGGTCTCTCCATCTGATTCCAAGAGAATTAGCACTGCAACAGCTGGACCTCGTGCAAAAACAACTCCAGGAACCTGTCCGTGTTTGATTAAATTGAAATACTGAATACAACGAGTGGAAAATAATACAAAATACAGATATTCTGGATAAATCAAGGACATGAACTTAGTGGAGTAGCAGAGTAGGAAACAGTTGATTAATCCATTTTCTCCAATATAATATTGATTATAGATCTGTAGGAAATGAATTCCGAAATTTATTTGTTCCAAAAATTGAGCTGCCACCGTGTAAGTACAACACAAACATCAGTAGAATGTACTTACAAACAACAATTATCATATTGATTGTTCTCCATCCTCCATGAGATCCATCAACCACTTTCATATGAGAAAAAATACTCAACAAAAACAATATGGACCACAAGAAAAAGGTTTATCTCAATGAGTCTACAATAATCTTCGTAACGGAATGTGAAATACCTTGTTCCCTGTTTGTTTATCAATTACGTCAGCTTTGAACTTCAGAAATCCAACACGATTGCCAAACATATCAACATTCTGTTCCAGGAAGCAAAAGAACAGACAAATTCAGGAAAAAAATTAGTTTTTAATAGCAAGGAAAATCAAGAACTGATTATGACATTTCCTATCTAGTCATCCCAATAATAAGTTTGAAATATCAAATACGACGTAAGATTTCGAGTGATACTTAGTTTTAGCACATCAATATATAACAAAAATGTGTATACAATATAGCACTCTTCGACTGCTTTTCACAGTGAAGATGGGACAAGCAAAATTGCTAATGTGCTCATGCAACTTACCACGAAAAAGGAAAGAACTTGTTTATTTCAACGCAAACAACTTCACAATATAAATCTTTGATGATTTATAGCATCATCTATCATTTTAATATTTGTGTTCTCAATGGAATAGCATTTATTGATGCAACTAATGTTGCCTTAAACAATAAGATTTGTCAAAACAATTCAAGAATTATTGACATTTTTACATTGTCAAAATAATAATATTGCAACTGCAGCCTTAGCAGAAGCAGCGACTTTTCTAACATAGTAGTTTTTATTGAAATTTCAATTAATACATAATAAAGCAATTTGGACTTAACTTTTATAGATTTGATTTTGATAAATGGGCTTGGGTTGAACTCATACCCAGAAGCTAGCTTAAATGGAGAGGGTGACCAACCCACACTTATACACAATAACAGCTCAGTAACTAATCGATGTAGGACAAACATAACGCCACCACCAGCCCTCACCTGCAGCATGCCAAACCAAATGGGCCGAATCCAAAAAACCCACCATAGCCTCCAAACAAATAAAACTTGGGTCCTCTGCTACCAAGATAAATGGGCTTGGGTAGAACTCATTCCCAAAAGCTAGCTCAAAGGGAGAGGGTGACCAACCCACACTTATACTCAATAACAGCTCAGTAACTAAACAATGTGAGACTAGTAAAACTTCTAAAAAGCAATGAGATAACAGTCAAATGTGAGCGGAGAAACCTGAATGATAACTTTGGTAACAGACATATCCCCCCTAGACAGCAACCCTGTTCTAGTTTGAATATTTTTCAGCCACTGTTTGAACAGTGTACTTTCGATAGCATTCCTGCATCCATAACAGACTCAGTTAAAATCTGACAAACAGTAAATAAAGAATTTTTTTCATAAGGTGAATGCTATCCTATACAAATTCATGCTCAAGTTCAAGTGGTACTAGTTACCAGCCATTATCAAGAATGCTATAATTACTCTCGGGAAATGGTCAATAACATGAAAGCACAGAAATCTACGCACTATGTCTTTCTCATAACTTATAAATTATAGAATTTCAGAGACTATGATATACTTTCCAAGCGGGCTCAAATAAAGATGTAATAGAATTCAGTAATAACTAGCCAATACTTCATAAGACATGACAAGTGCAGAATACTTCTATAATTGCAAAAGGATCAGCCAGAGAATTGTAAAAGAAACAAACCGCAATGTCATATTAAGTTCATTTGTTTTTTCATCTAGACGGCTATTCGCACAACTCAAATTTACAAAAATTTTGAACGTAACAATGCTGTAGCCGTAGTTTTTATAGTGTTTTGCATTTTCAAACATATAAAGTTTGCAGAGCACAATTATCTCGTCACAGGACTGGTCACTGAAGAAGTGTGGATGCACGTAGTCACAGTTACCAATTCAATTACACACACACACACAAAAATCTACAACCCATTTTCTAAAACCAACGCTAGTGTTTTTACACACAAAATCAAAAATACTACTACCAACTCAAAAGGCCCAACTGCAAATCCAACATAATCAGAATAATATGAATTCCACATATGCAAACTACACAGTAGCAAGGGGGAAAATAATAATAAAAAAAAAAAGTGAAACCATAACATATTCTGAGAGCTCCTTATGGAAGAAAGAGATGGGCGCCGTACCTGAAATCAAAATCTGAGACGCCACCAGCGGCCACGACGGTGACTGGTTGGCCGAGTTGACCGGGGAGGTCGTCGATGGTGTGAGTGAGTTGGGATGAGGGCGACCCGGAGGCCATTTTTGCCGAGAAAGCTAGAATCGTTCCACGAAAATGAGTAGCGCGGGCGGAGGAGAAATGTGTTGGATTTTGCAGCGGGTTCGAGATTTTGCTGCTGACAAAGCTCCTCAAACGGGGAAAACCGGTGCCCATGGAAGAAAAAGAGAGAGTGCACTCATTTTTTGTACCTCGTGCGACTCAACGTGGTCGACTCTATCAGTGGTAATTTAAAAAAAAAAAAAAAAAAAATGTGAAGATTCTTACTATTTAGTAACAAAATTTGAATCTCATCTCTTTAATAACAAACTACTACGTGGCCCGTGCGATGCACGAGAAACAATATTACGATTGTGTTATAAATTAAATATACAAATAAATTAATCAATATTTACTTATCGTTTTTAAATTAAACCGTGTTGGACACAGTCCGACCGGATGGACCGAGAACTGGTTTATAATCAGTCTAGTTCACTTGAATAAAATATTTGCTATTGAATCTGTCAACACCAGTTGGTTGAACTGGTAAGATCGATATGATTTTTTAAATAATTTTGTTATATTTAAAATTATAAAATTACAAATTTAAATAAAATGGAGAATTATAAATTGTGTATCAATTAATTTAAACATTTGAATTTTTAAATTGTTTAGATATTTAAGTAACACATTTTATTCAATTTTATTACAAAAAGTACTATATATATAATATATATATATATGTATATTAAAGCGTATTTTTAAAGAAAAAATATTAAATTTTATAATTTTTATAAATAAAATTGTATGATTAAATTGTATGATTATATTAAAGAGTATATATAAATTAAATTATATGATTTTAAAGAAAAAAAAATTACTATTTGTGGGCTGCATTAAATGCTGACCTATTTTTTTGCTACTAATTTTAGTAAATATGATGACTTTTTATATAAGTATAGATTTGAAGATTCTATCAGTGGTAATTTTTTTTTAAAAAAAAAATGATCATATTTAATCATATTGTTAGAAATTTTGCCCGATTTTCTTTCTAACTATTTAGTAACAAAATTTGAATCTCATTTTTTTAATAACAAATTTGGAGATTCTTATGTCAAAATTTGAATCTCAATTTTTTGTTGTATTATTTTTTTTTACCAAAAAATTTGAATCTATTTTTTTTGTAACAAAACTGAAAATTCTTATGTAAAAAATGTGTCAAATTATTTTTTAAAACAAATTCAAATACAAATTAATTCTTAGGAAAATTCAATTGAACTTTTAGGAAAAATTGATGATTCTTTTCACTTTGTTTAACCAAATATTTGAATCAATTTGTTTGATTAAAAAAATCGGTGTATTGGTAAGAAAATCCAGTTTCATTTTTAGGAAAAAACTAATGATTCTTTTCGATTTTTTTAATCAAAATTTGAATTAGAGTTTATAAAAATAAAATAAAATACAATAAAATAAAATAATATAAAATAAAATAAAAAACACTCGCCATCTATTTTCGTTGTTCAACTAAACTGGCGTGAAAATCCCTAAAAATCTCTACTTTTTTCTAATAAAATTTGTTTAATAAATAAGATTCCCTAATTGTAGACATGGCCACGGGCGGCCCGGCCCGATACCGGTACCGGCATGAATAGTGCCGGGTTCGAGAACCGGACCGCGGCCAATCCTGTCCGGTTAAGAGTCACGGTTTTTTTTTTTGTCCCGGCGGGCCGGGCCGGGCCGGGCCATTTTTTTTTTGATTTTTTTAAGGGCCGTACCAGCCCGTGAACCGCCGGGCCGGTGAACCGGCGGTTCGGGCCGGTTCTATGAACCGGCCCTTCGTTCCTAGCGGGCCGGTCGCGGTTCGACTGTTTGAGGGCCCGTACCCGACACCTGGCCACGTCTACCTAATTGTTTTGAAGAACGTGATTTCTTAATTAGTAACTAATAATACTCAATTTTAGTTAATATTGGACAAGATATTTGTTCAATAAATCAAATCAATTTTTTTTATGAAAAATGCGGTGAACATCTGTTAATAATATCGATTGGGTTTGTTGTTAATAGGGGTGAAAGCGGGGTGGATAATTTCCGCATCCGATCCGATCCGAATCCGCGTTACGAGGATATGGATTAAGGTTTTAGATATCCATGAGGATATGGATAATCCGCATCCGATTGTTGCAGATATGGAGGAGGATATGGTATTGGCAATATCCGGTGGATATGGATTATCCGACAATTTAAAGTGGATTATCCGACCTTTATAAGAGGATATCCGATTATTTTACATAGCCCTAAATAATATAATCCCGGTCCAACTAGCCCACACAAACCATATAAAATTACTCATCGGCAGACACCCTAAAAGCTAAGGATACGGCGGCTGGTTCCACAATCATCTCGCATGCAGGTCGCTGTCAGCGACATCTATTTGCATCTTCGTTCCCCGGCCGCCGCTACTCTCGTGTGTGCTACTGTTTTCTTCGACACAACAAGTCAGCACTAGGTATTGTATTGCATTTTACTACTTTTTTACCCAGTCTTGTAATTGTTCTTCCAGTTCCGACTTTCTACAGCCAGCCTCACTCCAGGCCGGCACACCGCACATGTACGAATCGTTTTGTTGGTGAACGAATGAGTTATCTCCTAGAAGATCGATGGCATCATCATGATCTTTCTAGCATCTATGGACCATCGTGGCTGTATGGATCTTTTGGGGCCTTGGTGTAGATCATGTATATGTCGATCCCCACTGGATAGTTGATACAAATCCCTACCCAGAAGAGATCTATATATCTGTATCACTGCATGCATGATGCATCTATATATAGCTCGGACCTATGACCAGTGACGGATCTAGGAATTTCGCTC